TACTATTATTTTCTTACATACTGTTGATAAACAGAAAAGGAAGTAATATTTCAACATTCCCTATGCTTTCTTGGTCAAATATTCAAATAATTGAATTTGATTTTATTTCATGTTATAGGCATCTACTTATCAACCTCTTTGTTACATTTTTTCATCTTTTGATCTAATTTCCACAACACAAAAAAAATCATTTACCTATGAAATACACTATTTTCTTGTAAGAATAACTGTTTCCAATAAATTAAACATCTGTTTTCCTTTCTCCTTTGTGAGTGAACAACTAAACTATCCCTTGGTTTTACCACCAAATAAATATTTACTCCAAGACTAATGACTTCAAATACAAAAAGAACTTTTATATTTGTTTTGAAGTTGAACCTCTCATTGATTCCACAATTCTGCTGATTTTTTTTCATTACCAAATAATGGCACAAATGTCAATCCTTTATGTTTTATAATACTATGTTTCGATGTTCAATATCTTAAATAAAACATTAAGACACATTTGAAGACTTTAGACTTTGAAAATAAGTCTTCATTGTCGCAAATCAAATGCCTTTTTTCACGAATTTGAAATCTTGCAAGAATATAGCATGGAGCTGCATATTTTATGGCACTGTTAGAGAGCCATAGGAAGACAGATAATTGATGATTAAAAAGAACTTATCTCGTGCCCTGCTATTGGCACTATTGTAAAGCATGCTGGGTTAAAATACTAAAACTATTTTGTGGAAGGTAATAGACTTTGTTGCTGGTGCCTTTATTATTTTTGTTTTGATTAAGTTGATATAATAAAATTGTATGTACAGAAAACACTGGCCATGTTTGAAATATCAGATAACTAAGCAAGATAAAGATTCCAAACTGTTCATAGCTATGTAGATGTCAACATGAACAGATAAGCCTAATTGACAGGTAATATATGAGGATAGCTGAAATATTAAATAAGTTCTACCAAACTACTCATCATTTTCACTTTTATTTCTTAGAGGAAAATATTGCTTTTAGCTGAAGAAAGTAATAGTTAACATATTGATTGTCAGACATGAATTTTATTTACATTACCCCATTGAATAAAACTTTTTCAAGCTATAAGTATTATTTGTTTTCATTTTTCCATGTTACAAGTAAAGAAATTAAAGCATGGAGTCAGAAAGCCACTTCCCCTAGTTCCTTTTATTTATAATTATTAGAGGCAAGGTACAAACTCAGGTCTGCCAGAATGTGGAGCCCACAGCACCGTGTTGCTTCCCTGAGTCGCTTCACAACTTTTGGAATTACTGTCATCTCTTTGAAAGTCGTATCACGTTTCTGACCATTATGCCTACAGTTCACATCTCTAGTATTGTAAAGAAGAAATGGGTTGGAGATAGAACACTATTGATACCCTTTCCTGTCTCCAAATGCTAAGCTTAGATTAGCCTTCCTGAGAGTGATTACTGGCTCACGGGGAGTTATCCTGTGTTCTTAGCCAAGATCAAGACTGCTATAAAGGAAAAAGAAGTCCCAAATGGCCACTTTCATTATCGATTGCCAGCACAAAAATGTATGATGAAGTGTAATCTTGCAGTTTTCATTGTCTGAATTATATGAAGATGAAATATAACCTTGCCTAGTAGTTTTATTTTTCTCAATTATGTATACATGAGCTTCAACCCTCCAACTTCCTCAGCATTTTTCATCTTTTCCTCTTTCAAAGAACCAGCTGTTTGTTTTACTTCTTTTTACCTGCCGGATACTTTCTGAATCACATTATCCAGTGTTCAATTTAAGTGATCCCCGTTAAAGTCCAGATCCTGGGGAAATCACCCTGATTCTCGGTTCCCTAGCAACAGCCCCGAGAATAACAGCAGCTGTTTAGCCATATGTCTCTTCTAGAAAGATGCTGTAGTGGATATGTACCAAAATGTATTATATTCAATGCTTGAAATTTTAAAACTTCAAAACACC